CCTGACCTGAGGTCTGAGACTCTGTTAGACCTGACCTGAGGTCTAGGTCTCTGTCAGTCCTGACCCGGTGTCTGGTTCTCCAGGACTCTGTTAGCAGCAGGACAGAGAAACAAGCTAAAGATGTAAAAATAAAAACATTTCTAAAAAACTAGAATCACATGAGCTCAAAGTCACTCAGAAATCACAAGACTGTCGTCTCCTTCAAAATAAAAGCACTCAGTGTTTTGGTTCTACAGGCAGGAGATAAATCTGCTGAAAAACATAAAAACATATATTTTTTATAAAATAATCGTTTTATCTGAGGAATATTTGACTTCCAGCTGTGAGCGTCTGCAGGTTGGAGGAAACGTCTCTGAACCCAAACTTTGTTTAAAGTCCACCTCCTGAATCAGACTTGATGTTTGGTTCTGATCCGGCCTCACTCTGTATGATAACATCAGCTTCTTTCTGCTTCTTTACAAAACTGTTTGGCTCATTGAAAGAAAAAAAAGTTTTTTTTCAGTTTTTAAATGAGCAGAAAACTGTAAACAAAACGTTTGTAACTTAGACGTTAGTTTAGATGATTTCTTCCTAAATTTAAGCTGATTAAATAACGCAAAAATCAAAATTATGAAGGTTCACACTCTAAAAACGTACATTTTGAAATATTTACACCATTACACTGCACTGTTAGCAAAATATCTCACGATGAAACAAAGCGAGTGAAGCCTGATTTTATTTCAGTGAGAACACGTTGTTGTGAGGAAAACTGTGATTGGTCAGAAGTTTGTGGGCGTGGCTGCAGCGAGCTGCAGGCCGAGGCTGTGAGAAAATACAGCCAATTTTAAGAGCGTTCCAGTGAAAACGATAAAGAAAATCAACTAAATCTTTTATTTTTCAACAGGAAGAGTTCGATCAGTGCAGCTCAAACAAACTGAAGTGTTGTTTTAATAACATTTGTTCAGGTGAAATCCTCGACACGTGACGTTAAACGTTACGAACCCAGAGCGAGTTTTGTTTCTTTATTTGTCCGGACACATGTGAAGCAGGACAGTGAATAAGTGAAGACACATGACAGGATGTGACTTGTTGCCCTGTTTATTTTAGGATGACTCAYGCTGCAGAGCTGGGAACGCTGGGACAGTTCGGTGTGCGAATTAAAAACCAGTTTCTGACATCTCCATCAGATCAGCYGTTAACCAGTGAACTCCCAGCTAAAACTGGGATTTGTCATTAATCACATCTGCAGAAAACTTCCTGTTTGGTCGTCATTTATTCTGTTTTACATTATGATCAATTATCAAACCACTTCTGCACTTTGTGTTTCTTTCAAATATCAAAATATTCGGCTGATTCAGGAGATGGGACTTTAGCTTTTTTTTAACTTTTGCTACTTTTAGCTGTTTTATCTTCTAGGTTTTTGCAACGTTTTGTCTTTTAGCTCATGTTTTGTGACTTTTAGCTGACCCTTTGCTACTTTTAGTTTTTAGTTATCCTTTTCTTGCATTTAGAAAATCGTTTTGACACTTTTAGCTTAGAGCTAGCCTTTTGCTACTTTTGTTTTTCACCCGGCCTTTGCTGCTTTAAAATAGGCTTTTGTTGCTTTTAGCTAGTGTTCTTTTGTTGTTGTACTGATTCTTTTAGGTTTTAGCTAGTGTTCTGCTTAGGTTTTAGGTAGCATTCTGCTTTTTAGGTTTTAGCTAATATGCTTTTAAGTTTTAGCTCGTGTTCTGCTTTTTAGGTTTTACCTCTATTTCTTTTAGCTAGTGTTTTGCTTCTTTTAGGTTTTAACTAGTGTTCTGCTTCTATTGGCTAGTGTGCTGCCTATATTAGCTGGTGTTTTGCTTCATTTAGCTTTTAGGTAGCGTTCTGCTTTTTAGGTTTTAGCTAAGTATTAGCTAGTGTTCTGCTTCTTTTAGCTTTTAGCGAATGTTTTGCTAGTTTTAGCGTTAATGCTTTAGTTTCAGCAGTCATTTAGCAGTTATCAATCTGCATGTTTACAGAAAATGAACGTTTTCTGGCTTTAGCTCAGTTCGTCACAGAAAGCAGCTAAAATAAGAGCTCCTGACGTTGTAGCCTTCGGTTGTTTTCCTGAAAAATAAAAGCCGATAACAGCTAAAGTTTGGCAAACAGAGTAGCTGCAGTCAAAACTAATCCTGGATGCTTTATTTTCTCAGAGAACACGATGTCGACACCAGAGAACTGCCCTGAGGACGTCAACAATCGCAGCTTCTGGATGGTATGTGCACCATATCTGTGTGTGTGTGTGTGTGTGTGTGTGTGTGTGTGTGTGTGTGTGT